GATTTAATAAAGATAAATTTTATACTATTATATTCAAATAGTTAATAAAACTTTTTGTTTAATATTTTACTTATAAATGCTGAAATATTTTAAATGAAAAAAATATAAATATTAAATATTATGGTTTAAAAGAATTTTATTTGATAGAGTATGTATTCTATTTTAAATGAATTTATTAAAATAATAGGATATTTTAAAATATGTAATGGAGTGAATTACCATTTACAAAATAAAAGCAAATTATAATGATTTATAGAGAAATTTTTTAATAAAATAAAGAGTATAATAAATATAGCAATAATTTTATGCAATTTAATGGTTAAAATTGTAAGTATATAAATAATTGTGAAAAAAGAAAATTTATATTAATTTTCTATTATTGAATATTTTATTTGTATATAAATAAATATATATATTTTTTTTTAACAAAAGAATTTTTATGGAAAGGTAAAATTTATATATAAGATTAAAAGTTATTTTTGTTTTATATAATGAAGTAAAAATAAATGCAATATATATATGTATATAATTTTTCTTAATTAAAAATGAATATTTATATTTTTTAATACATATAATTATTATTAGTAAGATTTGAAAAGGTAAAATTAAATATTTATGTCATATATTAAATGTTTAAGTAAATAAATTTTTCTATTTCTTGTAATATAAGTTATTTAATCATTATATTGTGGTTAAAAAGATAGTGCTTTTAAAATACTCATAGTGTATTATTTAAGAAATAAAAGTAAATTAATGTAGATTTAAAAAGAGAAATGAAAAAATAAATTTTCCAGATTTAAGAGAATAATCACTAATAACAATTTATTAAAAATTAAATTCTCTATAGATTTAAGATATCTTCGAATTAAAAATTTTTTTTTCTTATAATTTTTATTAAAATAAAAAAAGATAAAACTTTTGAGAGAATTGTATTTTTTGGTTAAAAAAATGTGAATTGTCACATAGGATAATAAAATAAAAAAATATATTTTTATTTTAAATATAATATATATTTTATATTAAATATAGATTAAATTTTATACAACTGTGTGTTTAAAATTTTTATATTATTAGATAATGAAATGTTTAAATAATTTGAATTTTTATATATTAAAACAGAATTAGTTTTTAATAGAAACTTTCTAAGTAATATTCTTCTATGATATTATTTATGTAATTTATTTATTACTTTACAAAAGTTTTTTTACAAGTAAATTAAATAGAAATATATTTCTTTAGTAAATAAAAATGAATATTGGAAATAATATGAATATTAAATAGCAAAAGACTATAACAATGAAATCTAAAAATTTTGTTTTATAAAATTGTAGTAAAGAGTTATGTGAAAGTAATATAGCAAAAAAATTTTAGTCTTTAAAAAAAATAAAAATGTTGTAGGAACCTAAAATTAATAATAATAAAATTTTGACATGATATGATATATGAATGTTTTATTAAATAATGTTTTCTATTATTTTACAATAAATTAAAAACCTAAATTTTTATTAGTTAAGCATTACTTTTGTATGCAGAATTAGTATATCTTAAAAATAAATGCTCAATAAAAATATTCATGAATCATTACTATTTTGATTAATTTACTGATATAAGAATATATTTTTGTTCTAAAAAAAAAAATAATTATCCATAAAGTTATCTTTTTAAAAAATAATTTTACATTCTTTTTTTAAAATGATTTTGAATTAAAAAAATGCCTTTAAAAGAATTCTATAGAAAATTATAATTTTATTTATTTCACATTAATACTTTCCCATTTTTTTTTTTTTCTTATAAATATTTATATATGTATTTAGTCTTTTTATAAGAAATTTATTATGGTTTATTTCTATAAGCTTATAATTTTCTATAAGTAGTATATAATAACCTAATTGTTTTTTTCATAGAGCACGATTAATAATATAAGTATGTGTTGTTAATTATATAGGTTTTGATATTATAATATGTACAAATTTATTTTTGAGAATTAAATTAGGGAACATTTGCTAATTGCTTAGACTTTTCAGTAGTATTTATATAACATTTATACAAAATAATATTTAAAAAAGAGTAATTATTTTATTTTTGAGAGTTTTCAATTTCCTCTTCAAAAGATACTAAAAAAAAAGGGCACATTTTAAAAAATTTTTAGTAACGTTTTTTTTATTTTATAATGGATTGTTTGAGATGTATTCATGTGCTATGAAAAATAATAATACTAGAATAAGATGTTTTTATTAAAGGTATTTTATTTTCGTATTATAAATTTTATTTATTTTAACTTTATTAAATTGTATATTAAGTATTTTTATAGTGAATCAAATATTAAATTTAATATATGCATATAATAAAAATTAAAAATAAATCAAGAGAAATTAAAACAATTTTAAATATTTCTATGGATGCAATGTAATATAATTATTAACTGTACTTTCAAATGCATTTCAAATATTTTAAAAAGATAAATTAATAAAGAACATATAAAAAGATTATTACATATTTTAGTTACCAAAATATTAATTATTACAAATAACTTATTCTTCTTAGATTATATTAAATCTGAAAGAAAATTTGTTTTACATTAATGTATATGTTTAATTATATAGCTTTTTATTAATTTACCATTTAATGCAAATTTATTATTAATCATTTACATTTATATTAATGCATAAAAGAAAAGAAAATCTCTTTATTTACTGAAAAAAAAAAATAATTCTTTTTTTTAATATGAATATTAAAGTGTATTGAAAAATGTAAATTCTAATGTACACATTTTATGTATTTTATTGTACATATTTTCCTCAAATAGTTTACATGAATAATTAAATTTTCGATAAAGTTTCATTCCTTAATACAAAAGTAAATGTGTCGATAATACTACTTATAAGTTATTAGATTTCTGATATATAGCATTGAATATTTATCACAGTAACTATTTATTTCATTTCAATTGTAAATATATATATGATTTTATAATTATTTTATAATTCATGTAACTCGAATGAAGTATTTTAAGAATTTTTTGTTCTTTTATACTTACTATTTTTCCTTCAAATATTATATTAATTATTGTTTCATTTTACTTACTATGTTCTTTTTAAAATATAAATAAAAATTCATATATTATAATGAGAAATAAATAACTTTTTGTCATTATATGTTACTTCTTATTATTGAAATAGAATGATTAAAGACGAAATCTTATATATACATTATTACTTCATATTCAGAGGATAATACTAATAAATTCCATATTTTTCTACTGTAACAGATGGATAACCATTTAATACTAATGAAGAAGACTTCAAAGGCATATAATGATAGAATGAAAAATATTACTTTTAATATGAACATAAAATTGTTATTATTGCAATAAGGGAACTTTTGTGTTCTTTTAATATAAAAAAATAAGAATAAAATTTTCACTTATAAATGTATATTTTTTTTTTTTTTTTTTTTTAATTTCTTAATTTTTTTTATCTAAAATTCTTTTAATCTAATTAATTTTTTTTTAAGAGTTAATCAATATTTAATATTTTAATATATCATATATATATTACAATTTAGTAGACCAATATTACTAAAAAAAATTACCTTAAGCAAAAAAATAACACATTTATAAATAATCAAACAATTGAAATAACCAAAAACGAATTTTATAATAAATTATAGGAAGCAATCATTGGAATAAATATTGAAATAGCTTTTAAAAAATACAAGGGGTTTGAATTAACTGGTAATAAGATTGTTTGTTCATCTTGCATACAAATTTAAATAAAAGAAGATGAAATAAAATTTTAAAAATATTAGTACTTATGTAAATGATAAAATGGAGAAATTATAGAATATCAAAAGAAATATTTACATATGAAATAATGTTTTTATAATAAAAGATTTAAGTGGAATATATTTCAGAATCGTAACAATAATTTTTCAAATAAAATTAAACATTCATTCCATTCATACATTTCGCTTTTTATGTAAAATCAAAGGAATTTTCTGCAGAGAACATTAAGTACAGTAATGAAAAAGTTTAATAATAAAGAATAAATTTGAAGTCATTTTGACGAAATTTGTAACTGTTTCATATGTAATTCAAGAAATATATCGTGTTTCTCTTAATGATAAACTGATAAAAACTGTTGGTATTATGCTTGATTTTAATTTACGCAAACTTGTCATATTTTTAACTAAATTTAATTTTAAAATTCATTTAAGTATACATATAATATAAGTTATATTACATTAATTATTACTATTTTTCTTCCTGTAAATGCAATTGAAAAAAATAACAAAAATTATAAAAAATTAGCTTCATTGTATTCAATGATTATGAAAAATTTTATTTTTCACTTAAAAATGACGATTAATACTTTGACCTTATTTATGACATATATCATATTAATACTAGATATAAAAGATAGGGATTCAGAAGCTTTAAAAAAAATAATAATGTTTTAAGAAATATATATGATACATACATTAATAGAAAAATAAAAAGAATTACCTTTTTCCATCAAAACAATAGATTATACATGTGTAAAAATTAATGAAATAAGGATGAATTTCAATATTAACATTTGTAAAAAATATTGTCTTGATATCAGTCAAACCAACGAAAAAACAAAAAATGAGAAAATATAAAAATATAGAAAATTTTTTTCAGGAGAACTAATAAATAATGTAGATAAGACATACTTAAAAAGTCTATTATATTTATTTAATTAGTCATTTTCACATTATGAATGGAATATAGAAAAATTAAATTCACAAAAAAAATTTGAAGAAAAAAAATTGTTAGAAGCAAATATTAAGATAGGCTCATTTTATTCCAATTCTAATAAGGTTTTCATGATATCAGAAAGCGAGTGATATTTAGCACTTTGTCAGGCAGTGCTTCACCATTAATTGAAAATTAAGAATTTGAATATTTAATTATAGATGAAGCATGTCAATGTGTTAAGTTGTTTAATACCATTAAATTAAAAATTAAGAGTATTATTATGGTAGGTAGTCCCAAGAAGTTACCTTCTACAACATTTTCAGCTAATTGTAGAAGATATGGATATAGTAGATCATTGTATGAAAGATTATTATCATGTAATGTTCCTAGTGTTTTGTTTAATATTCAATACAGTATGAGACCTGAAATAAGTTATTTTACAAATAAGTACTTTTATAATGGATCAATTAAAAATAATGAAAATTTAATAAATAAGCTATTTTTTTATTTTCATTATTTAAATTTATTTGGATGTTATAAATTTATTAATGTTGATGGAATAGAATCTATAACTTATAATAAATCATACATTAACTATGTTGAAGCTTTTTTTTATATCCAAATTAATATTATATTTCCAAAATTTTATTGAGAAAAAAAATAAAAAAAATGATGTATTTAATTTATATATATTTCCAACTAACTTAATTTAAAGAATATAGATATTATTTGTCCATATTAATCTCAATTCCCCTTAATAAAAAAATGTTTGAAAGATTATTTCATGATAGTTGCTCTCTAGAAATATCAACAGTTGATGAATTTCAAGGTAGAGAAAAAAAATATAATAATTTTTTCATGTGTAAGATATAATCTACAATCTATGGAAATTTTTAAAAATATTGATGAATTAAATGATAAAAAACTGCTATCTTTAAAAAATAATAATTATATCAATAATAATGATTTTAATACTATAGAAAAATTTAGGAATAATATTGGATTCTTAAAGGATGAAAGAAGATTAAATGTAGCTTTAATAATAGAAAAAGATGCTTTATGGATAATAGGAAATAAAAAAAATTGTGAAAAAAAACTATTAATAGATACAAAAATAAATGTAGTAAAAATTCAAATTCCTTTATTCAATGTAAAAGAGAAAATAACTTTAATAAAACTAATAATATTTGTAAAAATTAAATAAATTATAATTTTAAAAAAAATGAAACAATAGAAAATAGAAATATTGAAAAAAAAAAAAAAAAAAATAAGTACAAACGAAGAAATTTAAAAAAGTGAAAATTTTTCTAAAAAAAGAAAATTAAAATAAAAATACAAATTTTTTTATGATGTAGATATGACATAAAATTTTCATTTATTTGTATAAATATTTGAACAAAAGGATTTCAACATTTATTTAATGAAAATTTTAAAAAGAGAAAAGAAATATATACTTAATAGTTTAAGTTAATTTTATTAGGTACAGTGATTATTCTTTATATTAAAAGTGAGAATAAATTTATTTTTTTTAGAGAATTTATGTAGAAATTATTTCCATTAATTTAACAATGAATAAGATTAAAAATTAATAAATAAAAAACAAAAAAGTTAAAAGCTTCATGAATTTTTGTATAAGGAAATTTTTAATTCTTCATGTATTTTATATTTTTTAATATATTTTATTAATAAAATAATATTGGTATTTATGTATTTTTAAGCTTTGGAAAAATATTTATTTGAGGAATATAAATATTTCTTAATAAATTTTTTGATTATCCTTTATAATTTTATAAAATTCATTTATTGTATATGAAATAAAATTTACATCTGTTATAATATGTCTCTAAATAATTCTTTTTAAATTATGAAGTATTATTCAAAAATCAAATTAAAAACTAAATAAGTAAAATCCTAAAATATATTTTATATAAAGTAAAATTTTAAGAATGTATCTTTTTACTATATATATATATATATATATATATATATATATATATATATATATATATAATTATATAACATATTTTTCCTAGTATATTGTTTTCTTTTTTGTAAATTATTCATCTATTATAAAAAGAAATTTATAAATGTAAAAATCTGAAATTTTAATTAAATTTATTATTCTACAAAAGAATGATACATTTAATTTTTCCATAGGAAGTAACCAAAAAATATGAAATAAGTATATGACGTATTATATAAAAGTTAAATATATTTTTTAATTTTTCTTATATCGTTGATTTAAAATTTATAATATAATTTCATAATTAGGTATTTTTAAAAACACAAATGGAATATTTATAAGGAATATCAAAATTATTAAAAATTAAGAATTGTGTTATTTCCTGTTATAAAATGTAAAATATTTACAATAATATTGCTACAATATTTAATATTTTTTAATTTTTTTTTTTTTTCACGTAAAGAAAAATTATTTGGAATAAATTATAATTGAAATTATTTTTGAAAAATTTATAACTTTTTATTTTTAAAAATATATTTATCTGAAATAAAATTAGTATAGGAGATATTTTTTTTGATTAATAAAATTCGTAATATATTATTAAAACAACTTTTTTTCTTTTTATATATTTAGTGGATATTAAAAAAAAAATATATATAAATTTCATATACTTAATAGTCATTTTATTTTAAGTAGAAAAACATATTAAAAACTAATGTTTTAATAATAAAAATACATGTTATTTATAATTGTTTTGAAGTAAAGCATAAATTATTATGTTAATGGAAATAGTACCTTTTTTTTTTTTTGTTTAATAAAGTTTATTTGTTGTAAGATTGAGTCAAAAAATGACAAATTTTTACTACGAATTATATCGTTTAATGCTTTATTAATTTTATGAAAATTTAACATAGTAATCATTTTTCAGATTAGAGCAAATCAATAATAAATTTACGCATATTTACTGAAAGGACAACGGTATTAGTGTGCTTCAGATGGATATTTAAGACCATTACGTATTTATGATAACATGTAAAATAGATTGATGAAAAAACATTAAATAAATTTTAATGATTGTTCATTGAATATATGTAAATCTACTTTTTAATGGTGTAAAATACAAGAAATATTTTTGATATATTTGATTATGTGTAATTACTTTGTAAAATTATAGTAGTTATTAATTCTTGTATATCATTTATTACTTCATTTTGAAATATCTTCATCATTTAAATTATTTATATAACATATCAATACTTATAATTTCTTTAATACAGTCATTTAATTACTTTACAATAAAAGGATTAAGGGAAATATTGAGCTTTTTATTTCATTCTAAAACTAAAATACATATTAATAATATAAACTTCAAAATTAAGTTAAAATGCATTGTATTATTGTGAATAAAAAAGGAAAAATTATTTTGAAATAGCTATATGCAACCCTGTATGTACGCAACTTCTAAATTTATTTAAATAAATAAATAATTTATTGATTAAAAAGTAAATACAGTAATTATCAACAATTTTTAAATATTTTTCAATTTTAATTTTTTAATTTAAAATTTGTGTATTTAATATCCTTATTTGAATCATAAATATTATATGTAAAAATTTTAATTTTTCCTCTGCCTTTTTTTTTTTCATATTTTTTTCTCCATTTTTTTTTTTTAAAAATGGATCAAATACATAATAGAACTACTGTTGACTCTACGGAAACAGTTACGAATGAAAGTCAAAAAATTTTTGGAGGCAAAACAAAAATAAAAAAAGAAATTTTATAAAAAAAATTAATACTAATTTCTTTTTTTTCAATTTTTTTTTAGAAGCGGTATTTAATTACTCTTATTTAAGATTTTATTGAATATTTTAATTTTCTAATATACATATATATTTGAAAATTTTACACTTATAAAAATATTTTTTAAAGAATAATAATGGAATATTAATAAAAAAAAATAAAATAATATATAAATGATTAATTAGGGAACAGTAATACGTTTAGTCATTATATTTGTGGACACAATAATGTTAACAAATTTATTAATAAATGCAAATATAAGTTGCGATGGATATTTACGTAAATAAATTATATGTTTGAAAATATGTATTTCACATTTAAATAAAAAAAAAAATATATATTTTATATAATAGTTCATTACAATTATGGAATTATTTCTTTTTGTTTTTTTATTCATAAATAGGAACATGGGTTATAGGGGCAAAATTACTAGTAAATTTTTAAGTTAATATTTTTTAAATGATTATTCATATTCTTATGCAATAATTCTATTTTCTTCAAATATACTTCTAAAATGCTTTTTTTTTATTTTCTTTCGTTAAAAGAATTTAAAAATTATTAAAGGAGGATAAGAGTGTATATTATTGATAGATTTAATCATTATATAATAATTTATAAAATACTATATGTGACATTAAAAAAAAAAAAAAAAAAATTAAAAGTTAATTCTTATTTATGGAATAAAAATTGATTAAGGTAAAGATAATGATAACTACTTGTTTTTCAAATTTTTTTTTTAGCTATTTTCCTAGTTTCTTTTAATATTATTGTGTTTTTTGTGGACATACTTTGGGACGATTCAGGTGTATTTAATAATATGAAATTCATTATATTTATTTATATTTAATACTTTTTTTTTATATTTTTAAAGACAAATAAATCAAGTACTTGTCAAAAAAATGCGCCCTTTTTATTTTGGACAGTTTTTACTTTAGTAACCACAATATGGTATATAAAAAGAGAAAAAAAAATTATATATATAAATATATATAGGAAATAATGTCTGATTCTTTTTCAATACATAGGTGTTTAATTATAGGAATGATTTTAAGTCTCATGATTGTAACAGTAGTATGATAATGAAAGAATATGATTTATAAATGAAAATAAAAGAGCATACCCATTTTTTATTTTTTTAATAAAATCTGATTAAAAAAAAAAAATAAATAAAATAATGATAAATAAATGTTAATTAATATAAATATAAACTAAAAAAAAATTTTATTTTTTCTACACAAATAAGTTTGGTCAATTTTTTAATTTTTTTAGGGATCCTTTTTTGTCGTTAGATCTAAAATAGATAAAATGTAATACACGGATTTATCACCTTCAATTATTATTTTTTTTAATTTATAAAAAGAAAAGTTGAAATAAAAAAATTATTTAAACAAAAATACGTTAATTTTTTTTTTAACATTTTTTTACTTTCATTTTGTTTTTCATTATTCAAATTTTACAAAATTAAAATTCGACATTAAAAAATAGAGTAAAATATTCTTGTCTATATTTACATGTAAATGTGTAGGCAGATTTAATGTTTGAATAATTTTTGTATTTATTATTATAAATAAAAGTAAAAAAATTATTTAATAGTAACATTATTTATAATTATATAATTCAACTTCATATTTTAAAAATTTCAATAAAAAAAGACAAAAATTCAATTACACAGTAAGGATCTTTTAATTATATTAAAATATTTTAAATTATAAAATAAGATATAAAAACATTGGTAATAATAAGATTTATAATAAGTTTTCTATTTAAAAGTTTATTATGAAATTTAAAATTTCATGTATTTAGTTCTGTTAAGGTTCCTGAAACTTAATGAGATAATGCCACATAATTATTATCATTACATAGAAGACCTATATCTTATATTCATAAATATATTTATTTATTTTAGTATAAAAACAAAATTGCAATGGAATATTCTTCTAAACTTTCAATTTTAGTGTGTAAAGAAATAAAAAAAAATTAAATATTTCTTATATGAATATAAAGTAATATTTTATTATAAATTTTATAGATAGTAAAGATCATAATTCTTATGAAATATAACATAAAAGTAGCACACAACTAATAAGTAAAATTTGATTAGTTAAAATAAATTGAATTTTTCTTGTACATAATTAAAATTAAATTAACAATTGAGAATATTACAACTCTCTGTGTCATAACAATTTTATATGACTGCTTTGAGAATAATTTTAAAGCTGTAAAAATTAAAAAATATTTCGAGTTACATAGATTATTCTGATATGAATAATGTTAAATCCTGTTTCTATTAAAATAAATCAACATAATATTATTTTGTAAAGATTTTTTAAGTTTTAATTTCAATTGAAGTTAATCCTTTTCACTATATAATTTATTGAAAGTTTATATGTTTTTATAATGTTTTAAATAATCAAAATAATAAAGAATATGTGTAAAAATTCCTACTTATTTTATTCATTTTAATGCCACTTATCACGAATGATTATATATGGGGTATATAAATTTACTATATAATATTTAACAAATAAATTATTTATATTATATTTGAAACCTTTGAATTAATACCATATTAAATAAATGTTTAGAAATTCTTAGCATATTAAGGATTTATTACTTTTTGTATTGTTTTCTAAACTTTATTTACTTAAAATTTAATATTTAATATTTAATATTACTATTATCATGTATAACATGACCATTAAAAAAAAAAATATCACACAAAAAAATATAAAAATAACAAAAAAATAATAGATATATATTTTATTCCTTATTTTTTTTTGTATATACATTTTTGTATACATATTTTAATAAACACTTTTCATCAAATACCTGTTATGCTTAATTAAACTTTCAGATATATTATATTCCGTATTTGTAAAAATTCAAAAGGATTAATAGCACTATTTATTTATTAATATTAAGACATTTATTAATTTTTCAATTTTTATTTTTATTTTTTAGTTACTTAAAATATTATAATAGTATAGAAAAAAAAATAATTTTAAGTAATTAATTAAATATCCATTATTCAAATTTTCTGAATATGCCCACATGTTATTTATTTTATGTTAATCTTTATTGACGAAACAGACTTAAAATTTAAGATATATTTTTATTTTTAAAGATTATGTGAAAACAAAATTTTAATCTTACTCAGTATCCAAAAAAAGTTACAATTGGCTTTTTTAAAACTTTAATATAGCGAAAAAGATTGAATATAGAAGTTGCTACTATATATAAGATATTTGAAGGATGTTTATATAAAGGTATGTATAGCAAGATTCTACCTATAAAGGTGCTCATCTTTGTGAACTTATATAAAGATATTCATAATAAATAAGAAAATAAAATAAAAATTGTTTTTTTTTAATTTTTTATTTTTAAAAGAAAAAAAATTACGACAATTTTCTTAAATAATTTTGTGTGTATATGGATGACTTTTTTTTAGATATGACATTTGGTAATAAAACTACTGAGAAAAATGATTAAAAAAATAATATATAAAATTAATTTGTTTATTTTAAATTATATAGATTATTGTTCAAAAATCTATAATTACGTAACTGCTTTTACAATAAGTAATTTGGTAGATATTTCTCTATATTTCTTTATTAAATTGATTTTTTAAAATATAATAAAGGTGTTTAAATGAACAATTAATAAATCAGTTACTATTTTTTAGAATTTTTACATATATTTTAATTTGAGAATTAGCATTACTTCTCATCTTCATTTATAAGATATTTACATTTTTCAATATTTTAAAAAAGGTAACTTCAATTTATATATATGTACATAGATATAGAAAGAGATGGAAAAAGGCCTTTCATGTTTTTTCTTCTTTTCAGAAATTGTATCTACATGAGAAATAGTAAAATACCATATTATTTAATTCACAAAAAATTACAATTTCAAAGAGTAATCACAAATAAAAATATGCAAGACTCAAATTAATGATAAGGAGTATGAATTAAAATAAAATCTTACTCTATTTTAATGTTTTAAAATAGTAAAATATAATGTATGTATATTAATTAAAAAATATAGTTAAAAAAGTATGAAACAAGCATTTATTATATTAAAATGAAATGATATCTAAAAATATTTTGTTTCATAAAAAATTGTATTGTTATTTTATGTTATAATTGTTTTTTTTTAGTAATAAATATTTTTAAAAAAATATTTTTTCATTTTTTTTTGTGTAAACGTATGCTTAAGATAACAAAATTTGAATTAATTCTTCTTTTTGTATAAATAATGAATATATTTTTTTTTTTATTAACTTTTTTTTGGAAATTTTATTTTTAAAGTTTTATTAAAATAATGATATAATCACTTTCTATCTTTTATTAATTAAATCATTTATGT